GTGGCATCCGGCTGGCGTACGGCCTGGGACGATGTCTTTTGCATCATTACAATTTTTCTTAGTGCAAGTGTATCGTGTATCATATGAGAAAAGAATTATTTTTAAACTGCTATATATCTCAGAAACAAAGAATCATATTAAATGCTTTTTAAAGTTGATACTTTGGTATAGCAACAATTAAAAAAATGTGAATTAGAAAAAAGAAACTAGTTGCTGGTACTATTGCATTCTTGAGAACCCTCAATAAAATCATTTTTGGCCTTTTTGATGCCATTTTTTTCTCAAAATTGTAAATTTTTGTTAACAGATTCGTGTTTAACAGACAAAAATACATCGGAAATTACTGTTCGCAATCATATAGCAAAAAAAAAGGTTAAATTTTGTTCTAGATTATAATCAGAGTGTAAAAGTGCATCGAAACCCTGGTGAAAAAATTTCTATGCCAAAGTACGCCAAAAAGTACGCCTTTCTATTTCTATGATTGTGGTGTAGAATTGCGTTGTTAAACATAGAAATAACTACGCGAAAGATAGTAAAATGATGTACTTGGATCTAATTAAGCATAGAAAGTACATCAAAGTACTATTATTAGTAGCTACGCGCAACTAATAATCATTACTTCCTGAACTATGCATTTTTATGTCGAACTACGCCAAATTAATGTTTATACTTTCGTAGTATTTGGAGAAAGTATGCCATTCTACGTCTTTTTACACAGAATCACACTCTACAATCGAATAGTTGGACACAGAAATAACTATGCCTATTTACGCCAAACTATACGGTTGCACGAAAAAATCGTTTCCTGAGATGCGTATTTCTATGCCAAACTATGCCAAAATACAATACTTACCTTTTAATTTTTCGATGTTTCTAACAAAGTAAGCTATTCTACGCTATTTTACGCGGAATTATATCTATTAAAATATACTTTTACTCATTATGCATCTCGGCTGACAGAGGACCATGGCAGAGATGCATAAACTCATAATAAGAAAGTATGGTTCAAAAACATCAAAGTTGGGCTTTAATATTAAAATATTTATGCTACGATGGAATTCTAATCCATCATGACAACAACGTGATCTTAAATTCATGCCAAATAAGTTCAAGATATCATCATGTTACTTTAAACAATAGTGTAAATATACCCGAAACTACGGGTATAGTTTCGCGTAAGAAGGCATAAATCTTTGGCATAAGAATAGAATTCTACGCCAAACTATTTTCATGATTCATTCACATACTTAGGCGTAGTTAAGCGTACTTTTGGGCATAATTAGGCATATTTTCTGGCGTAGTTTGCCATAATTGGTGTTGTTTGCGTACAAAGGCATAAATCGATTTACTTAGAAGTAGAATTCTACACCAAACTGCTTCCGTGTTCTCAACCACATATTTAGAAATAGTTTTTAGCGTACTTTATAAAAATTTTTCTGCCAGGGAATAGTAAAAATATTTTGAATAATAAAATAAATAAAATAAAATATTTTGGATAAAAGTAAATACAAATATGATAAATCATAGCAAATCTAGAAAATCTTTTTTTTCTTAATAAGTTTTAGAATTTATTCGATTCTTCATAAATACATATACAGGGTGTATCAAAAATCTGGAAACGACCGAGAATATCTCGGAAACAAAACATTTTTTAGAAAAATGCTTTCAAAAGTTGTAGGGTTTAAAAAGGTCTATTCACTGATCACATCTATTTGAGTGGCGCCATCAAGGTCAGATCAAGGTCAAATCGATTTTTTTTAACGGGACCATATTTTTTTAGGCCAGAATCTAATAACTGATGTTAAAAACTTTTTAAAACACTGTAGTAAAGTTATTTTTCATTAAGTGTTTTTTTTATCTAGAAAATTTGAAAATTAGGATATTGACATTAGCACTATCAGAGATGTCTGACCAATGGCTACAATCTTTTAAATATTGTTCAGGATTATGATGTGGATAACATTTGATAAGATCAAGATCATTAGAGGTCGTACCTCTTACTTTCATTTTTACGTAAAAATGAATTTTTAGTTCAAAAATGAAAATAAGAGGAATAATCTTCAATGACCTTGGCCTTGAACAAATATTATCCAAGATATGATTCTGAACAACATTCAAGAGATTTTAACCGTCGGATCGTTGGACACACTGGGTAACGCTAATGTCGACCGGTGTCGTAACTTCCAAGCTTTATAGCTTGAAAAATACTTAATGAAAAATGATTTCATTATAATGTTTTGAAAAGCTCTTAATACCAGCTATTAGATTCTGGCATCAAAAATAGGATATTCCATAAAAAAAAAATCGATTTGACCTTGATCTAATTTTGGCGATGCCATTCAAGGTCAAATGGATGAGTGAATAAACCTTTTTAAGGAGAATGTCGATTCATGTCGGTTCAAAAAATCGAAAAAATTTTTTTTGCTTTAATCGATAGTAATAAATGTAAAAAATATATTTCCAAAGTTACAGAACAAAATTCAAATTAGGAAGTTACGGCCCATTTATGATGCATAGATGTACAGTGCGCGCACCAAGACCCTCTGTTCGGTTCGATCATGGAGTATAGATTCGAGAATAGAAGATCGAACTCACATGGACGAGGCCGTTAAAAAGCGTGATCAAAAGTGGTCATCTGATTTAGTTAGATCGAGATGTCGCTTTCGTTCTACGATATTATTCTCGCAATTTTTGGTCATACCAATTTTCTTCGAAACTAATTTTTCGAAACTGGGAAAGATAACTCAAAAACTATTTGATTCGATTGAATTAAATCAAATAACCACTTTTGACCACGCTTTTTAATAGCCTCGTCCAGCTGTCCCTATGCATACATATTGTTTAATGTCATAATTTGTCGATAAACTTATAAATTTAATAAAATAATTAGTTTAATTAATTAATTAAAACAATTGTTATTGCATAAATAAATTGAAATTTTTGGGATCAAAATCGTACTTATGTCTTTAAAGTCTCACCATTTTGTTATTATAATTTTTAACTTTTAACTTCATCGACAAGGTACTGTCATACAAAATAAGAAATCATTTTGTTTTTTTGTTTTATACAAAAGGCGTTAGATTTCCCACCGATTCACGATTCCGTCGATGAGGTTGCGTCAACATTTATTTATAAAAGTTACAAAATGAACTACATTGAAATAAAAAAAATTTTTTTTACTCTTTAATGTAGTAAAACACCAAAAATTTTTTTAACGATCCATTGCATACTTTAAAAAAAATTCTAAAAATGACTTTCTTTTTAGCGATTTACGAGGCGACCCCCAAATCCTATAACTTTGTTGGAAACATTTTCCTCAAAAATGTTTTGCTTTTGAGATTTTCAGACTTTTGATACATTCTGTATACACCACTAGCTAAAAATGTGGAAACACTTGCAGTGTTTTCGCATTTTATGTAAAGTTAAATATCTCAATAAAAGAAATCGTAAACAAATTTTCAATCCCACATTTTAAAGTGCAAAGATATGAATTTAAATATGCAAACATTTTTCTATTGCATTTTGTTCCTAATTTACTTATGACAAAAGATTGAATTTTCTGCAAAATATTTTTATCTTACTTTGTAACACTGCAATTTGATAAAACGTTATCTGACGAAATTGAATACAAAAATTTTTTTAAGTTGGCTTTTCGACCTTTAAAATGGTTTTTTAAAAAAAATTGGAACGATATTTTTTCACTGAGATACCGATTTTTTCGTTGTGTAAAACTTTCATTATGTAAAAGCCTTCTTTAATATTGACGTCGAAAAAAATTTTTTTAAATTTTGAAAAGTTTATACGAATCAAGCGTATATTATAACAAACATGTTTTTTCTTGTCTTTTTTTCCGTAAGTTTTTTAATTACGGAGTTAAAAAACAGAAAAGAAATTAAAAATCAGAAGAAGTAAGTTACACGTAATAAAATTTTACACAATAAAATATTCGATATTTTTGCAAAAAGTCATCGTATCAAATTTTTTGAAGAACATTTTAAAACTTGGCCTAACTTTAAAATATTTTTACATTAAATTTTGAGCGATATTTCATCAAAGGCGCTCTAAAGTAATACAAAAATAATACGAAATAGATTTTATGTAATTTGGAAACAAAACGTTGTAGAAAATTTGAACGCCAATTTAAAGGCATGTCTTTACGTTTTCAAAAATGTGTAGTCAAAAACTTTTCTATGATTTTTTAACAAGATATTTAACTATTCGTGAAATGCGAAGAAATCGCAAGTATTTCTAAATTCCTAAGAGGCTCAAAGGTGTATATCTATAATAAAACAAATATTAAATAGAAACAATGACAATAAAAGCCTTAATATTGGTACGATTATATTATTAATATATGTCCGAAATCTTACATAAATATTATAATAGAGTATAGTAGAGTATAGTTATAGTAACGTTTCGGTTCAATTCGAGCCATCTTGCATAATTGAAATTCTTGATATACCATCAAATAATCGTACGAAGATGTAATAGAATGCAGCATGGAAAGTCTCTCAGATTAACAAATATGGAATGTGTAACTGTCAGTTAGTTGTTTAACTAAATGTAAATTACTGCAATCCATAACTGCAATTAAAATAAATAGATCGACTCAACGGAAAAATCAATACAAATTTCTTATAAGACATAATGCTCATAGTGACAAAACCAGAGTCATGTAAATGATGCATATTGCACTCTATTACTTCTTTATATTACCTGATTACCTGATGATGTATGCCAAGAATTTTAATTATGTAAGACTGCTAAAGATGGCTCGAATTGAGCTGAAACGTTCGGTTATTATATTTATGTAAGAAACATATGTTAAAAATATGCATATATAAATTACATTACAACTATAGTATTAGCTCTATTATTAAGGCTCTTACTTGCATTATTTCTATTTAATATTTGTTTTAATATCTCAAAAACGCAACTGTGATTAGTCGGTATATGTTTACATCTACATATATCAATTGTATATATTTTATATTTTGCAGGACGGACCATTTTTGGCATTTCGTTTGATATTGATAATTCATTATCAGATAGTTAGTTACATGAATATATTCTTCACGTGCAAGAATACATTAGTGATATTGCTGCAATTGTATCGACTTTATGTAGTACAAACTGAAAACAAAAGCAAACGAAACAAAAAATACAGCAAAAGGGATGTATTAAATATCAACACTATTTCTCGGGGTGATATGTATAAAGATGTAAGAATGAGAGCTTTGCGAGATAATAATAAATATAAGAATCGATATGATAAGGACATAGAAGCAAATTATAGTGAAACTGAAGACTCGAGAGAAGATATCGATAAATTCGATTTGTCTCCAAAAAATATCGAAGGCTCCAAAAGGTTAGTATATTTTAACTATTATTAAGCTACTTTTATGTGAAAAAATTAAGAGACGTACGACTATGTCTCGACGCTAACACAAGCTACATGTTATGTAGCGGCTGTTATAATACTTTACGCAAGTCGACGAGTTTCGGGGAACCAAGATTATTGGATCTCAATAAATGTTGAAGATCTATGTATTTTGATCAAGTTCGGGTATGTGAAGTTAACACCCCAACTACAGAATTCAAGAGTTCTGATTAGAGTTCCCATTTCCTTTTGACGAGACGAAGAATTCTATATAATTTCTAAAAAGAGTTTTACTTAATAATAATTTTTAAATAATTTTTAAAAAATGGGATGCTAACTTCTTATTGAAAATCGAGATCAAATAGTTCTGAGCGGCCCAATAGCTTCATTTCATAAATACCTAGAGTTCCTAAGGCATAAAAAAATTTTGGTAAATAAAAAAAGATTAAAAATTTTTGAAAAATAAGTTTTTAAATACAATAGTTCTGATTACAGTTTCGGTTTCCTTTCAACGAGACAAAGAGTTCTTTGTATTTTTTAAAGCGAGATTCGCTTAATAATAATTTTTAAACAATTTTAAAATATGGGATACTAACTTCTTATCAAAATTTAAGATTGAATAGTTCTGAGCAACTTAATTGCTTTATTTTGTGAATACCTAGAGTTCCTGATATATAAAAAGCAATTCAGACACTTCACAAAATTTATAAAAAAAAATTGTTTAAAGTAGTTCTATTAGACATTAATTGTCACTCTATTTATTTCGAGGAGTTCTCAGCAATTAAAACCAACACAGATCTAAAAATAAAAGAAATATGTACTTAAAACGAAATCTGATTAATTGGTTGAAAAAGCACGTATCTCCATATATAGTCATCTAATCGCTTTTTCATCTAATATTTTTCGATAAAACTTGTCGATAGCTACCCATAACCCTAATCAGAACTAATGCAACTTTTAAAAAATTTTTCGACATCGGACTTAAAAAATTTTTAATGATATATTTCGAATGCTCTGTATCTCGAAAACCGTGGGTCCAATCGCTTTGTCACCTAATATTTTCTGACAGAGCTCATCGAGGACTATCCAGAACTTTAATCAGAATTACTCAATAATTTCAAAAAATTTTTGATTACCCTTCCCATGTAGTGTATCTCGCAAAATATTAGTCCAATCGCTTTGAGCTTCAATATTTTTCGACAGATCTTACCGAGAATAGTTCAGAACTATAATCAGAACTACTGAAACTCTTAAAAAATTTTTTGACGTAGGACTTAAAAAATATCAACTATTTTTCAAATATCTCGTATCTTCCAACATGTTGATCCGATCGCTTTGACCTAATATTTTTCGATAGAACTTGTAACAAAGCAATTAGTTTGGAAGATACAAAACATTTGATAGATAATCGATATTTTTCTAAATCCGATGTTGAAAAATTTTTTAAGAGTTCCAGTAGTTCTGATTAAAGTTATGAGTAATATTCAACGAATTCTATCAAAAAGTATTAGGTGATTAAACGATTGGGCCAACAGTTTTCAAGATACGCGATATATAAGTCATCAAAAATTTTTTAAGAGTTCCAATAGTTCTGATTAGAGTTCTGAACAGTTCTTGACAAGCTCTAACGAAAAGTATTAGGTGAAAAATTTTTTGAGAGTACTGATTGAAGTGGAGTTCTGGACAGTTCTCGGCGAGCTCTGTCGAAAAGTATTGAAGCTCAAAGTGATTGGACCAATATTTTGCGAGATACACTACATGGGAAGGGTAATCAAAAATTTTTTGAAATTATTGAGTAGTTCTGATTAAAGTTCTGGATAGTCCTCGATGAGCTCTGTCAGAAAATATTAGGCGACAAAGCGATTGGACCCACGGTTTTCGAGATAGCTTAAATTATAAAAATCGCTATAGGATCACGAACACGGTCGACTGATAACCGACTGCTCAGCCGGTATTGGCAGAGAGGATGATTCATGGCTGAGAACGGAGGATATTTTGAAAAACGAGCAAGGCGATACAACAATAAAATGTGCAGAGTCGTAACAATAAATGATAAATATATTCTCTTACTCATTTACACGATGTCATACACGCTGGACGATAAATTAGTAATCATGCATTATACAAAGCATTGAGGAGGCGTGATTGCCCTTCCAAGCGACGTTCTCGAAACGCAGTATTAGATACAAGGATTTCCTATCTCGACGGTACGAGCTTTAAATTTTTGAGCGACTCTACGAACGGTTGATATCGTAATTAGAGAAAGTAATCGGAATGCAATGATAGTTAATCGTGCTTAACCTTGCATAGATATAACCTCCTCGCATAACCTACTCTGACTTCAAGCTTGACCGAAAGAATAATGAGAACTATTTCAACGGAAAATGACAAGATTCTAGAGCACGAGGAGAATATTATCTGAAATCTAATCTAATACAATTTCGACATTCAAATACGATACAAAATGTGACACGACAATACAATGCAAAATGACTTGGCCGCGGTGTAAATAACTGATTCGAAATTAACAGAATCCGTAAGGTATCGGACGGGATGGCACGATCACGCTCTGCACGCTCGCTATGGTGACACAGTTATTCGCTACAGTATCAGACTCAACAAAAATAAACGATATATTCGCATATTCGTGCGATCTAAAAATTTACAATACCAGATACTGCGCTCGTCTTACTATGGAATCCTCCTCTGGCCGCTCGTCTCTCACACTCTTGACTTCTCAACATGTCCCCTGTGTCCTCGCACGTCCTACCCTCGAGCTCGCCACAGCACAAGTGCCGGACCCTTTCGACGGAGGTCCTTTCGGCGGCATGCAGGCACCGCAAACCCACGTGATAAGTCTTATCGCCTGATTGGAGCCCTCTCACGGATTCCGAAAGCCTTCGCGAGTCGCTGTCGCGTCACGCGCCTTGTATCCTCGTGCGCAGGATATGACTTGTAGAGCATTCTCTCCCAGCAGAAGCTTCCTTGCGGCACCGGCAGCGGGATCTCCTACTCGTTTTATGGAAGAAAGTGGATCCGTCCCCTCATGCCGTTCGAGTCGTTCCCTCTTTAACAAGTGCCTAGAAGGAATCCGGCAACGGAATTATACGCTCACAAACAGAATATTATTGCAAAAAATCAAAGCGATGTCTTCTGCGTGCTACCCCTTTCTGTAGCACCTCACGCTTCTGTGCAGATGTGCATCTCCAATCCTCTTCCTTGATGTTCGTTAAGCTGAGACGAAATTTCACTGTACAAACTACACTTTTGAACCGCCGATAATAAAATCTTAGAGAAACTCTTAAAAAAAAGAAACAATAATATTCGCGAAACACAACAATAGAAGTCGCTTAGAAATTGCGATAAGCGCCGACATGTCTGCCTTCCGCGTCGGGAGGACACAGGACGAAAATGCCGCGCTATTTCCGGTCAGGTCAAATAACCTTTGTAATGGACGATGAAAACATCACGTCACAGTACATATCTCTTTTATTTTTTGGTCTGTGTTGGTTTTAATCGCTGAGAACTCTTCGAAATAGATAGAGTGATAATTAACGTAAAACAAAACTACTGTATAAAAATTTTTTTTTAATTTTTAATTTTTTAATATAAATTTTGTTAAATGCCAAAATTGTTTTTTATGTATCAGGAACTTTAGGTATTCACAAAATAAAGCTATTAAGCTGCTCAGAACTATTCAATCTTGAATTTCGATAAAAAGTTACCATCCCTTTTTTTTAAATTGTTTAAAAATTAAGTTTAACAAATAAGTACAATGTATTAGGCTCCAACGAATTAAATTCAAACAACCAATATATAAAAATGCAAAAAAGCCACGCTTGTATTATATAATATTATTTGTTTATACTATATAATATTTATATGTTTATCCTAAAATAGCAATAAAAAATACATACAGACGTTTCGATCTTTTTACATCAGGTTCTCTTCAATGTGATAAAACTTAATGCAAATTTTATATATCAAATTTTCTTAAGATCGCACTCATATCAAACTTTCCAAAAACTCTTCGCAAATTAAATTATTATAATTCCTTGTGGAGAACATAGTATACATCCATGGATTAACAACCTGTAGTCTCAATTGCTACGCCTGGACATCCTTAAATCTTACATATTCTGTAGCTTGGATTTTTATAATTTTTTGTTCCATCAACATAGCTTATGTCAATAGTTATTGATAGTTCATTTAATATAATATAGGGATGCACCGGATCGTAAAATTACTGTATACTGGATATGGGATATCCGGACAAAATGTAATATCGGATATCCGGCATCCGATCGGATATTCGAGAAAACAATTTCTTCGAGTCGGATATCCAACATTTTCCGGATATCCGATCGGATTCCGAGAAAGCATCTTCTAAAAAAAAAAATAAAGACTATAGGGAAAAAGATTGTAATTTTGCCACAATGTATAAGATATTATATGTTATGAATATGCATACTTATTTCTAGAACATTTGTATAAAAAAAAATCAATTTAATGATATCAAATTTTAACCGAATATATTCTCGGATCCTAATGATATCCAACTATCCGATCGGATAGTAAAAACGTATCGGATAATACAGGATACTTCCCGAATATCCGGTGCATCCCTAATATAATATAAATCAATAGAGAACTCTTTGAACGATGTCCTTCTTATTCCTATGGTTAACAGTGATCACCGTTATCATCATTGTTAACAAGCGAATGAGAAAGATGTCGTTCAGAGAGTTCTTCATCTCTATTAATTTATGTTATTAAATGAACCATCAATAATTATTAATATATGTTGATGGAACAAAAAAATTATAAAAATCCAAGTCACAGAATATGTAAGATTTAGGAATGTCCAGGCGTAGCAATTTAGACTACACGTTGATAATACATGGATATATACTACGTTCTCCACAAGGAATTATAATAATTCAATTTGCAAAGAGTGGGAAGTTTGATATGAATGCGATCTTAAGAAG